TGGATCCTGTTTAACCCTCCGTGGCCGCGCCCCCCTCCCACTCTCTCGTTTCTCGCACTCTCGGCCATATCGGTCATCGGGGTCCGCCAAAACAGCCTCACGCCTTCTCCTCCCCCCTCATCCCCTTCCCTAGGATTCCCTCTAAACCACACCGGGCATTAGTGACGCAGCCCTGCACATCCGCCAATCCATTCGGGAAAAGTTCCCTACCAACACATGGTCAAGCCATGCATACCCTGCAAGTCTCCAGCCATTCCCAATTTGATTATTTCTTTTTTTCCTTTTTCTTTTCTTCATTTAATAATATTATTTGGGTTTGAGAAAAATAAAAATAATTATTACCCATAATAATCATTTCGAAAAAGGAAAATGTCAATTAAAATAAATTCTTCGGAGCACGGACTAACGCTGCTATCGCAACGGTTCAATCCACCATCACGGACGGGCTGCTTTCATTCGGACCCGGGGCTTAGCAGGCATAAGCTACAGACCTGTTCTCCAGCTGATCGACCCATGGCTTAGTTTTAAATACTGAACCCATCCTGTGTCTTTTCTTTTGAGTTTCAGATGTTGATCATCCTTGACTCGTGACTCTCACTTGGATTCAATATCTATATAGTCAATCCCAGATCCTCCCTCTGGCTTCTCATCTTCTTTCAATCATCATTCCAACTGCTTTCAACACTTTCTACTACCACTCGTATATCTTTGCTTCTTGTGAACAAGAGCTTTGATCTATATATACTATCATCTCCCTCTACCATACTTCAGTCCAAGATGCATCGGTCTTCCAATTACTCATACCAACAAACCTCGAGCTCGAGGAGCTCCAATCATGGAACCAGCAGCGCGTTCAGCCCCAATGCCAACCCCAACGAGGACTGGACCAAGATCTCAGACCTTGCAGAGCGTCGCCGGATACAGAATCGCATTGCTCAGAGAAACTACCGTAAGTTATCTTCCCTGCAGGGTGTTTAGCTATGCTGCGACTCGAAGCTCACTGAATGCGACAATCCAGGCAAGAAGCTAAAGCGTCGCCTCGAAGACTTGGAGAAGAGAGCCGCAACTGCTTCGACATCTCCAGAACGGTCACACGAGGGCTCGGAGTCGCCGAAGGCCGTGGTGCACACTGTCAAGTCCCGCACCAAACAGGCTCGCACAACCAAGTCTAGCTCAGATGCAAACCGTCACACCTCCGCGCAACGAGGCTCTTCCTATGACAGCCACTCCACCCAGGAAGATCGCCTATCGATGTTTTCCCAGCAATGCACCCGACAGCTCTCAGCCTCGCCGCCTCCCGTGTTCTCTTACCCCTCATACTCCCACTTGGAATCCTATGGTCACCACTCGTACGGACAGCCACCTTCCTATCACTCTCTCAACAACCACTACAATGACCTCCCATATGGAGAGTACGGAACAACGCTGCCTTCGATCCTGCCTGGTCCGATACTCGGATCGGGCGCAAAGAAGCACCACTCGTACGCCGATGACGAGATTGTCAGCCCCTTCAGTATGAGCTATGCATCCATGGCTGGCATTGATCTGGGCCCGACGCCGCAACACCTTCCAGAGCACAACATTCCTGTACATGCCCCTCTCTCTACGTGATGCCGGTCTGTGCAAGAAGTACCAGGGTTAGCGGAGCTAATACCGTCTTTCAGATGCCACCTCTGTCTTCAGTCTACAGCGATGATCATTCCTCCCCTTCCACCCCAGCAGAGCCTTTACTGCATTATCCTCTTACACCGAAGTCGGACCCGTGTTCCCCCAACTCATACCCGCTGTTCTGATTTGATGTTGTTTCTTTCTGGGAGCTAGGTGGTGGTACTTCGTTTTCTTCTTCTTATTTCTTTCTCCCTTTTTATTTTTTTTCTCCCCATGATTCACCCCACTCTCGCCCCTCTAATGACAGTTATGATGTATTATCGAGTCACGGTTGGATGTAACCGCACGATTCACTTTATTTCTTTTTCTATGTTTCCTTTGTTTGCGATCGATGCTTTTTATTCCCTTTGTGAGCCCCTTTCTCTTCTTCTTCCTATTATTCCCTTCCAGAGGAATATCTTTTGTGGACTGCGCTCGAGAAAGGACCCCACCCCGGGTCCAGCGCATTGCTTTGAGGTTTATTTGGTTTGCGCAAGCCGATAGATGCATGTTTTTCCGGCGTTCATGATGAAATTGAGGGGGAGTGGGGGGGAGGGGGAACCAAGGCTACAGGTGTATGCGTGTGTGGGAAATTGGCTATTATTGGGAAAGCAATTGTTCAATTTCCTTTTCTTTTCCTATTTATTTTATTTTATTTATTTTTTTTCTTACCGAACGATCAATCCGTCCGTCCGTGTGTTTCAAAAGATAGATTACCATACTTTTCTGAATCGAGTCTGGCTTCGACCCAAGCCGTGTTGCTATGCCATCCTACTATCCTCCATCCAGAAGGTTCGTCGAGTCGAATCGAGCCGAGTCCAGGTCAGGTCAGGTCTCAGGCCCGCCAGCGACCCAAAAAGTTACTTTTGTCGGCAACTCCACCCATCCCGAAATCCCCGCGCATGTCTCCGGTCCCAAAGTGGGTAACTGCCAACCCAGACCGTGGACGGGGAGGCTTTCGCCTCCCGCCGATGGCTATGCTCGCTGATTGGTCGGCTCGTATGCGCAACCCTGGGGGCAGTGGATTGAAGGGGGTTGCGCTTGGCCCCTTGACACTAAACCAGTAGGCACGTTTAGTGGCCTAACTCACTGTTTACTCGAAATGGGTCAATTAATTCGTTTTTTCCACCAGTTTGTTTTACCAGAACGAAACAAGCGTGATTTCACATCCACTGTTGCTAGCTTGCTAGCTAGTTAGTGTACCTTGGGTTCAGTCAGGTAGTTAGCAATCGGGGTATGAGTCGATCCCGGCGGTGTTTTGGATTTCCGTGTCCGGCTGCACATACACACCCTCTCGTCTCTATCTGGTCTATCTATCTATCTGTAAACTTAACGAAGAAAGAAAATACAGCTTCAGTAAGTTAGTTACCACATCCTCGGCAATTGAAACAACTCAAATATGTACAGCAAGTCAGATAAGGTAGTCGATTGGATCATACCTCGGCTTAGAAACTCAACCAAATCAAATCACACCGTTTTGGGGGCCGCAGTACTTACTTAGTTTAGTCGCGGGTTTGCGAGATTTGTTCATTGTGCATACAGCCTACATATGAACAGTTTATTTGACTCAAAAGTTACTAGATAGCACACAGCCTTGGGGCCATTTCGCATGGTAATTACCTAGATGAGTAGTTCACTACCCTAACTACTCCATACTATGCAGCTGTCTTGAGTTAAATCGCAAGGCTCTCTCTTCTTTCTTTCTTGCTCTGTTCATTGTTCGCGCCCGTCGGCGCGGCCGCGGGCCCCATCCATCCATACTTAGTAGTTGAACTAACTTGCTCTAAACGAAGGATCAAAAATTCCCGGCGATACGCCCGCCTGTCTCATAACTAAACCAACTTTACTTATCTAATAGACTAAACTAAATCAGGAACCATGGCTACCTAGACTGGCCCCCCCAGCTTGGACTGGGTCTGTGTCTCACTCTTCTTTTTGGATTTCCAGAAAGCCACTACTACCTACGGTTTTCTTCCATGAAGGGAAAGTAAGCATTCTAGATTGTATGGAGAGGAACTGAGGAGAGAAGGGTATGAGGTAAGTAGGTTGAACAAACAAGCATTAAACCGAAGTGAAACCCAAAAACCCCAAACCAAACCGGAGTTATCCGCTCGGAGATCGGACTTAGGCATTAGGAGATAGAGGCACGTCCTACGTAGTATCTTGGTTTTTTGTGTTACCATGTGCTTGCTATGTGCTAAATTCTGGGCCTCCCTTGTTTGTCTGTCTGTCTGTCTGTCTGTCTTGAGGTCAGTTTAATTCAGCTGGTAAAAAGTAAAATAAAAAAAAAAGAAAAAGATAAAGTAAGTTAGTCTAGCTAGCTAACGAAGTACATACGCGAGAACGAGTCGGTAAGTAAGTACGTACTTACTTATTAACTAGGGGAAGGGAGTACTAAGTAGTTAACGAGGGACTAACTAACTAATTACTATGATTGGGTCCGCTAAGGTGTGCTGCACTTCCCTCCCTCCCCCCCAAAACGCCAGGGCCAGAACCCTGTCCCTGCGACAACGCGGCGTGCCCGTCGAACCCGCTTCCGGCCAACCCGCTGTCCTTTTACCTTTTCCTTTTTGGTAGGTGAGTGTGCCGTTCGCTGCCCGGCTGCCCCGTAAATCAATCACCAACTAAGTAATTATGGAGTTAGTAAACTCATGAACGAACGACGGGCGGGAAGGGAAGGGGAAAGAGTAGGAAATATTGGAAAAGGCTGGACTGGAATGGGCGGGAGATCGATCATGGCCCGACCGGCACGTCGCTCTGCCTTCCTTAGTGGGTTAGTAACATGAGAAAAATAAAATAAGATATATTGTGTTTCTTTTCTTTCTAAGAATGTACTTAGTGGGGCTCTGCTTTTGCTGCCTCGCTCTCGCGAGAAGATGAACAAGAAGGGAGAGAAAGTTACGAACATGTGTGCTGCTGCGCCTCCACAGCTCCCGGCATGACGTGGTACTTGTCCTACAGGGTTACTGGAATAGTAGTGTGCTTGAATGACTGGCTGTGAGGGATGGCGTCTTTCTTCCTTTCTCTCTCGATCGATCGATTTGACTTGACCCGCTTGCGGTTGTTTTTCTTTGTCTTTGTCTTGATTCTGGTGACCGTTTACTACGTACGTATTTAGATCGAGGGGGTGAGTACCTTTGGAGGAGAGATTAAACGAGTAGACGCAAATACTTGCATCTCGATTTCTACTTCCAGATAGACCGTTATTAGCTGCGTTGGATTATCAATCAATCTTAATAACTTTACTAATTAATTAGTATATACATCTGACTGTGAGTAAGTACTTTGATCATTTTAAGCCTTTGACATAGCGGCCCGCCCATCTCCGTATACGGGACTTTATACTTTGTACCAAGATATCTGATTTCCTTGGCTTCTGCAGGGTAGATTATATACCATGTTACTCCGAATGAACGAATATCTCTATCTAGAAATATTGAAAAGAAATCTGTAGCCGCAAGGCTACTACCAACAAGAAGTCGCTACAGACATACATACACACATACCACATACTTCTTGCATCGGACAACCCCGATCAAATCAATCACTTCAGAGATGTCAATCAGTCTGTCAAGTATAGACCCTAGCGTCAAGTAAATATCCCAACCGGAATTCAGTTCTTATTTGCCATGCAAGTCAGTAAGTAGTCCACATGATGTGCCGGTTCCAGTAACCACCCGCCTTTGGGAGTTAAGATGCGGCTGGCTGGCTTGCAACCGAAACATCCGGTAATTGCCCGGAAGCAAAGCTGTATGGTCAGGACACACACTCTCTCATTTCCTTCATTCTTTGTTTGTATACCGCACATATATACGAGTGGCGATAGCAGAAATTCCAAAAAAGAAAGGAAATGAATGTAACAGTGAGTGAGGATACTGTTACAGCCGCGGAAAATCCAAATCCTAATCTAAAATCTAAAATCTACGTTTTGTTCCGCTGCACGCCTTAGGTAGAACTAGACCATGCCCGACAAGACAGCGTGGCAGACGTTAGATAGATAGTAAAGTTGAACAAGGCTCGAATATACGAGTCTGCTGCAGCCACACATACACACAAGGCTGGCTCTGTCTCGGAGTCCAAGAAAAGACGTTACTTTTCCATCGATTACAAATCTAGTATTTCTATGTGATGTGATGTATACTATCCTTCCCGTGGATGGCGTATGCGTACTTTTTATTCCCCTCAAGTTTAATTTCTTCATTTTGTACAACATTCAGAAACGGAGGGAATGTTTCGCTGGCACCATTCAAGGGTGTTTATCACCAACTGCGGCAAAGTCTATGTATCTCGTTCATCACTCACCCATTCCTAAAGTCATGGTGGATGAGGAGGAGGAGGCTCAGAATGACCAGGACTAGGGCCAGGATTAAACCCAATCCAGTCCACTTCACTCCACTCCAATCCTTAGCGTTGCAGCAGCACCAGCAGTAGCGACCCCAGACACACCAGGCTAAAGTTGCACGAGGGGTGGGCAACAGAAGACATCAAAGCCCGGCGCCAGGGATTTCCGAAGGGAGAGAAACCAATCTCGACTTGACGAGACGCAGTCGAAGGGA